GGGAAGGGAAGGGAAGGGAAGGGAAGGGAAGGGAAGGGAAGGGAAGGGAAGGGAAGGGAAGGGGGGCGAGGCAAAAAGAACCGCGGCCCGCCCCGCTGCCTCCTCCCGCACCCACGGCGCGTGATGTCACGGCCGTTTCTATAGAAATTAGGTGACATCACGGGCCGGGGGGCTGCGACCCGCCACGGCAGGAGCGGGCCGGCTCCCCGGGGAGGCGTGGCGGCACCGAGCCAGCCCCGGGGGCGGCAGGGGCCAGGGTGTGACCCCTCCCCGTCCCCTCCACCCCCCAGCCGCGCACCTGCCGGAGCCCGGGCGGGACCCCCCTTCCCGGGCCGGTGTCGATGCTGAGCGGGCCGGGGGCACTGCCCGCTTCGCCCGCACCATGGACGGCTTCTACGACCAGCAGGTTCCCTTCATGGGCCCCGGGGTAAGTTTGCCCACCCTCTTTCCCCGTTTACACTTTCCTCCCCGACCTTGGGGTCACCTGCTCCCCATCCTTGGGTCACCAACTCCTCATCCTTGGGAGTGCCCCCCTTGTCCTTGGGGGCACCCCCAGCCTTGGGGGCTGCCACCCTCACGGGCAGCTGTCACCGTGTCCCTTGCAGAAGTCCTGCACAGAGGAGGGCCGAGGCCGGCAGGGGTCCGATAGAAAAAGGAAATTTTTGGAAACTGACCTGGCCCATGACTCGGAAGGTAGGCAGGGCTGGCCCCTGAGACTACGTGCCTCGCGTTGGTTGTTTTAGAAATAATCCTGCAGATAATGGCAGTTTTATTTATTCTTCTGTGGAGCACATAAGTCTTTCACTCTGTTCCAGAGCTCTTCCAGGATCTCAGCCAGCTCCAAGAGGCCTGGCTAGCTGAAGGCAAGTCTTCACCTCCCCCTTCTGCCATGTAAAATCTCTCATCTTTTTGAGAACTGAAAACACCATAAACCCACTTTTTTGTTTGTTTTTTTTTTAGCTCAGGTCCCCGATGACGAACAGTTTGTCCCAGATTTCCAGTCTGACAACTGTAAGTGATTGTTCCGGGTTTTTGTTCTCTGGGGGTAGAGGTTTGGGTGCCTGTGCAAACATTTGCACTGGGCTTGGAGTTGCTTCCTTGGGAAAGCAGTTGTCCCTGGGGCTGGAAGGTGAAATCATGGGCTTTTGGGAGAAAGCACGTGTGGTTTGAGCTCGTAGAGATGCAACGTGCAAGGTCCTGTCTTTTGTTAATGGGGAAAACTGGCCAGATGCATGGAAATAGCTCTAAACTGCTCTCCGGGTTCCTCTGAGGCGTGATGCTTGTTCGTAGTGAGGTGGATTCGCTTCTAAACACTCCTTTTCCTTTTCAAGTGGTAGAGATAACCCGTGCTGGGCTGCTTGGTTAGCCACAATCTCTGCAGTTTCTAGAGCTTTTTAGAGTCCTGGCCCGGCGCTGTTGGCAAGAGCGAGCCTGAGCGGTGAAACTTGAGCCGCTTTAAGCAGCATTAATCACTGGCAAGCCAGCGTCTTTAAAAGGAGGCCAGTGAAAATGCAGTCCCTGGTGAATTGCATAAGAGCCAGAGTTGGTTCTGAGCCCTGTTGTGTTGCCAGAGCGGGTTAGTGGCGAGGGCAGGGGCCAGGGAATGGCGTGTGGGGCTCGCACGGCCCCGGGAGCTGCTCTGGGGTCGGCTGGGGGAGAGCGGGGGCGGAATCGGGATGTTCCGAGTTGTTACCTGGCAAACACAAGCGGTGGCTTGGTGTCGGTGGCTGGGTTTTGCTGCTGAGCCAGACAGCTAGGGAACTCGAAGGAAATCAAATTTAGCCTGCAGTCGAACAGATTTTTTCATTCCAGCTTTGTCACAGCATGCAGCGGGGTATCTCCTCCGACAGCAAATGCGTGTTAATTATTGCTCCTCGGTTACTTCGGAGCGGGAAGCTTGCCATTTAGCCCGTCCAGACAGCCCAAGCTTCTGATGTGTTTTTTTTTTTCCCCTGTCTCCCCTGAGATAAAAGGCGAGCCCGGAGTCAGAAACACAACGGTCTGTTGACATCCCCAGCACAGCCCAGCAGCTCTTGCTCGGAGCAGTAGAAACTGCAGTGTGCGTGGGAGGGTGGCTCTTGAAGCCGAAGCTGTTTCCAGTGCCTTTTGGCAGTCTCTTTTTCCTTGTAACCTGAAGAGCTCAGACGGGAGAGACAAACTTTTCGGGGTGATGCAGGAAAAAGAGGAGAAGAAGAAAAAGGCGTTTATTTGGTCAGGACTCTCAAAATGTTCTGATCTGTTCAGCCTGTTGTTGAAACGATTTTATCACTTGAAAGATCTGCCTGTGTGACTCCCTGCAGCAATAACCTTCTTTAACTTGCCTGGGGAGGGAAAGCAAAGGTTTTTCTTGCTGCTGCAGTGCTGGCTGTGCAGGGACTCAGGGGAATGGGAAGCCCAGCTCTTGCATCCCTGCACTAGAGAGAGTTTACAGAGAGAAACTCCAGTTTTGAGCTGTGTGCCGTGTAGAAAGGGAGAGAAAGATGGCTCTGGTGTAGCTGAGGTCTGCTCCCAGCTTTCACTAGCAGGGACGTGCTGCCTTCCTGGGCTGGCAGTCACAATGGAGTTCAGCATCCATTGTCTTCTGAGGAAAGATAGATCCCTTTGTCCCTATGGATGTTTGTGGACTCTGTTTTTGGAGTTGTGTGGCTCCACGCCTTTTCCCTGAGGAAACTCCTGCTCTCTTATCTCTTAGCCTGAGCAAACCTCGATCTTGTGCCCCATCTTGCATTCCCAGGGCCAAGCTTCCTTGGCACAACAGCAAAAAGGGACAAGCCAGGCTCAGTTTGGACCCTGCTGCAATGGGGAATGTTGCCACATACGCCACATGGAGTCTCGGAGATGCTCAGAATCTTTCTTGCCTGGCTGAAACCCCCTCATAGCTGCCTGCAGCTCTGCTACTGCCCGCTCTCTGTTCCCAATTCTGTAGCCAAGGTCCCTGGCAGACAGGATCTTAAAGTTGGGGCTTGGTAGCCAAGCAATCTGGAGGGCAGGGGGTCGCTGTGCTGGGGAAGAAATCCCACTGAAAGGAAAGCAAGGCTGCTCCAGATGAGGGATGCATTGTTCTTGGTGCCCTGGACCGAGTGGCAAGAGGCCACATTCAGTACTTATAAGTTGCCCAGGGCAGTGGTGGATCCTTCATGGGAGCCAGGAGGCTGTGGTGGCTCCACAGAGCTCGCCATGCTGCGACCCTGGCTGGCCATGGGTGTGAGGTCACCTGCAATGTGGTCCTGTGGCCAAGGGTGCACTCACAGTGTTATGTCTCCACTGATTGTTTAAGTACCTGAGAAGTGATGGGATCATGCTGAGGAGATCAAGCACCACAAGAAGTGATTTTTTTTCTCCCAGGGTACCTGTGGCCTCCCTGTGCAGGCAGCACGTGGCAACAGCCATGGGCAGGGCATGGAGTTTCTTACACACCAAAATGAAACAGGGAGGTTTGTTTGTGAGGAAGAGTTGTTTAAACAAAGGAAAGCAGGATCCTGGCTTCTATTTCTGACTCCTCTCCTTGTGTGACCTTGGGTGCGTCCTGTAGTGCCAGGGGATGGAGGGACAGGCGCAGAGCTCAGCTCCCAGGTGACAGCTTGAGTGGGTGCCAGTGTCCCTGGCTGGAAGTGGTGGCTTGGTTGCCTTCCCTTGGCTCATTCAGAGGAAGCCAGTGCTCTCCGAGCTTAGTCTCATGGAGGTCCAGTCGTGCTGATGGGTGGGGATAACCTGCCCTGTCCTCCATCGAGGGATTCACTGGGAACTCAAGGCCTCGAGTGGCTTTGTGGTGTCACCCATTTCCATGGGAGATGTCTGATGGTTGGCGTTAGGGGCATTTCCAGTTTGACTGCTTGTATGGCACCGGGAGGGTTTTCCTGAGCCTCCCCTGCCTCCCCTCCTGGCTGGGCACAGCAGTGGCACATGTGGCTGGTGCCTTGCCCAGCCTCCCCAGGCTCCTTCCATCTCTAGGGGCTAAAGCAGCCCAGAGGGGCTGGCAGGCACCCTCGGGTGTCCTCGCTGCTGCCGTGGCTCAACCTTGGTGTGGAGCTGCTGACACATCTGCTCCAGCCCTCTCTATAGCTGAGCTGCTCCCTCACAGTATTTTTATATATTTTTTTTAGCTTTTAATTACAGTGCCCAAGGCAGGACCGGAAAGGGTAAAAGCGCTTGTGCACCCGCTGTTCCTTTGAGGTGTTGGGTGCTGGGGCAGGGCAGCTCCTCCCACCAAACCCAACCAAATCCAAACCCAGCGCCTTCCCCCCAAAAACTGCACCTCGGTGTCCCCCGGGCTCCTGCAGCCTCGCTGGCCATGAGCTTGGCAGAGGAGCACGCCGTGCTGAGCAGCGCCGGCCGGCCCCGCCGTGTTTGTGTAAGGAATCCAAACGTTGCACAGAGTCCCGGCTTGGACAGCTGGTCTCTGTTAGGATCTTAAGGCTCATTTCCCTTTTTTTTTGAATGGCAGTGCTAAGCTCTGGGGAAATTTTTCCTTTCTTTTTTTTTTTTTCCCTCCCTCAGCCACATGAATGGAGCGCTGCGAAGTGTTTGTGAATGGAGGGTGGTGCCTGCTCAGGGACTGGAGGCTTTTTTTTTTTTTTTTTTTTTCAATGAATAACCAGACCCCATTGTACGACTGGCGGAAAAACAACCCGCTCCAACAACACGGAGCCTGTTTGGGAGAACCATGCCCGCGATAGGCAGCTGGAGCCCTTCCAAAGCCAGTTCCCCTTTGCTTTCCCATGGCTCACGGGGTGCCTGTGCTCTCTGCCGCCGTGCTGGCCCCCTTTTAAGACTGGAAGTGCTGAGAGTGGCAAAAGCTCGCTGGGGAGGGGGGAAGGAGGAGTGGGATAAATCCGGCTTGGGTGGAAGGCGTGTGGGGGGCTGTGCTGGCTCAGCGCTGGGCTTTGTGTTTCAAATCCTTCTGGGGAGGGGGGGGTTTATGCCCTTGGTACCAGCTGTATTGAGGCCTTTCGAGGGGGGGGGATGGGGAGATAGGGGAGTCAGCAGCTCTTTAAAGGTTTTGACAAATTAGGGGAGCAGCTAATTACCTGGCAAGCTGTGAACAGTTGTCCTGGAGCTATTTGCTCCTCTCCAATGTAGCTGGGCTGTGTTTAGGCTTCACATGAAGCTAATACTCCACTTACGATTAGTCTTGGCTCTCCTCTGAGGCACTATTTAGGTACAGATCTCTGAGGCGCTTTCCCTTTCCTAGGGCGCCTGCTTTTAGAAATTAATTAGCTTAAGCATATATTACTCAGTTTATAATTATATATATAGCAAGCGAGTTTGGGAGTGGGTGGAGAGGATTTGGGTTTAATGGGATGTTTGTCACTTGAGCTCATACAATTGAGGGACCCTAGGCCTAGATCCCATTGGACCACCCTGGCTATGGGAAGGTGGATCCTGCTTGAAAACTCTGGAAGTGGGTATGCCCCTGCGAGGGCGAGAGGGTTGCTGTTTATGGGGCCTTGGAGCTCCATTTTGTCAAGCCCCCTCACCCCTTGATCCGTGTCCCGGGGAGGCAGCCACTGCCTGTGCCACCTGGGCTCTGCTCCACTCGCTGAGGGGCTGGTGGACAGCACACGTCCCATCTAAGGCTGCTGCCAAGCTGCCTCACAGCCCCTGTAGCAATTCCCCTTCTGAGAACATGGGCTGCTGTGACTGTTCTGCTCTCCCCTGCCACCCTGGCTCACTTCTCCACCAGTGCTGGGGTCTGGCAGGGCACCGTGTCACCCCGGTTTAGCTGCTGAGTTGCCCCCAGGGCGTAAATCAGCGCCTTATTCCCAAAAAAAGAGCCGATGCTTGCAGGGCTGCTGCTCCCATCGCCCTCTCCCCCGTGGGTGAGCCTGTGTCCTCCCCGGTGTCCTTGCAGTGGTCCTGCACGCCCCACCTCCGGCCAAGATCAAGCGGGAGCTGCCCAGCCCGTCCTCGGAGCTGTCGTCCTGCAGCCACGAGCAGGCTCTGTGTGCCGGCTATGGGGACAAGTGCCTCTACAACTGCTGGTAGGTAGCACGGGCACGCCGCTGCCCGCAGAGCCCCCGGCGGCTCCGTGCCACTCGAGATGTCACCGTGGCCCCTCTCCCCCGGCAGTGCCTACGACAGGAAGCCCCCCGCCGGGTTCAAGCCATTAACGCCGCCCGCCACGCCGGTGTCCCCCGCGCTGCCCGGGCCGGCCCTGGCGCCGCCGGGCCCCGCCGTGCCAGCGGCCGCCCACGGCGCTGCCCCGGCGCTGCAGGAGCAGCGGCAGCAGCCGCCCTTCGCCGTGCCGCGGCCGCCCGTGCACATGCCAAAGATGATGTCTGAGAACCAATTCCCCGCGGAGCACAGGTGAGGCAGCCCCCGCCCCAGTGGCCGCGGGAGGCCCCCAGGGCTTTGTGGGGACTCCTGGGGTGGGTCGGTGGTCCCAAAGCGTGGGGGAGAAAGGGAAGGGCTCGGGCTTTTGTCCCTGAGCTGCGGTTGCAGTTGGTGGGCCAAATGTTGTCACCTGTGGTCCCCTGTGGCAAAACTTGCCACTTTCTACTGGGATCATCTGGTTCTTTCTCCTGCTAACAGGGAGCTGCTCCTTCCAGTCTCTGAGCATCGGGCAGAGCCTTTGCCTCCCCCTTGGGAAAGGCAAAGGAGGCAGAGGCTGACTCCTGTGTCCACCCCAGTTCCTACAGGTGCTGGTCCTGAGTCAGGGCTCTGCTCTCCTCATTCCCACCCAATGCAGCTCTGCCTCCCAAGCCAAGCCCCGTTGGGCTGTGGAGCTGTGACCATCTCTGTCCTGCCGTGCACCCCGGGCTGGGGGTGGTCCAGAGCTCCCCATGCACCGCATGGCATCACCATGACTCTGTGGGCTGTGGTGTGAGACCACTGTTCCCTCCTTCCTCTCCAGGTGGTGGCTTCACTCCCCATCACTCCCACGTCCCTGAAGGCTCTGCCAGTCCCTTCCCTCACCCTGGGTTGCTCCTATGGGTACTCTCAGTAGGTGCTCTGCTTTTGGCCTCTGGATGTCCTTTGCTGTGACAGCCACCGTGTCACCCCTGTGGGCATGGGACAAGATGTGGCAGCCTGGCAAAGGCCGTGCAGTGGGGCCAAGGGAAGCCCTTGGAATGTGCCCACAGCAGGCAAGCATCCCTCCCTGGCAAAGCGGGGCTCCGTGTGACCTTCAGGCTGCGCAGGGGGCTGGCTGCGACCCCTTGGGAAGCCCTGTGCCAGCACGGGGCTTGGGTTTCATTCAGGAAGGGCAGAGGGACATGGCTCGGAAATGGAGTAATCCCAGCCCGGCAGCTGGGAGAGCTCGGGTTACAAAGCCAAATGGTGCAAGGCCGGCTGAGAGGAGCCGCACGGAGATCCAAGATCACCTTTCAAGGTGCCGGAGGACGAGGGGATGTGGCGGCACCCCCTCGAGATGGTCCCTCATCCATCGCCACCGGCAGAAGCCATGCTCTCAGAGCAGTGGTGGCAGCACCACGGAGCCCAAAATAGTGCTCCCTGCTGTCGAGTTCAAGGCTTAATCCCGGCTGCGCGGGCGGATTAGCAGCCGGCTGGAGCTGCGGAGTGGATTTGGCTTTGCGTAAGCGCCCACCCATGCACAGCAACCCCGGCCCCTGCCCCCCACGCTGGGGACAGATTTTACTGGTTTACAGAGATATCAGTGTTGGGGGGTGGGTTTTTGTTCCTTTTCTCATTCCTTTCCAGATACCTGAAGGCCAGAGTGCTTTACTGTGGTGGCCCATGTGTTACCCTGCTGTTCCATCCTGGGGTTCTCAGCACCCCGCTGGGTCCCCGTGGGGTGAGCCCGGTGGTGGCTGTGCTTCTGAGGAACCATCCCAGCCTGCTGTGGGAGCTGGCTGAGGGCCCCCAGCTGTCAGGCAGTTCTGGTTTGGGGTGGGAGCTGGCCCCCACTGCTCAGTAATGCCACGTCCTTGTCCCCCAGGTTTCAGAGGCAGCTGTCGGAGCCCTGCCACCCCTTCCCGCCGCAGGCCGGGGTCCCGGGGGACGGCCGCCCCATCTACCACCGGCAGCTGTCGGAGCCCCTGGGCCCTGCTGCCCCCCGCCCCCCTCAGGGATTCAAGCAGGAGTACCATGACCCTCTCTACGAGCACGGCGGCCCTGGCCTGCCCGGTCCCCCCGGCCACAGCTTCCAGCCCCCCATGGGCATCAAGCAGGAGCCCCGGGACTACTGCATTGACTCAGGTGGGTGTGAGGCAGGGGACAGCCAGGGTGGGGTTACACCAGTGACACTCCAGAGCAGAGCATCTCTGCCTTCAGCATGGCAGGGGCAGGGTTGAGCCTCAGGCAGTGGATGCTGTGTCACCCTGGAGCTGCTGTGGTGCTGGGATGCTGCTTTGCCTTTTTCTTTCCTCTCTGTCCTCCTTTTCCAAAGGCAGGGGATACAGCAGGAGTTCACCGGGTGCCAGTGGTGTGGTCAGGGCTGTGGCCACAGGCTGGGGTGCCCCACAGCGCCTGGTGGGTCCCCCCTTGGCTTTGGCCTGGGGCCAGCTGTGATTGCTGGCTGCTGGACCCTACCAGCATCACGGAAAAAATCCTCTAATCGCCTTAGGACCTAAAAATACCCCAACCTCGGGATGGAGGGTGGCACAGCCAAGCAGATGGTAGGGGAGGTGCAGCAGTGCCTCCCTTCATGTAGGGTTTGTGAAAACTCGAGCTGCTCCTGTCTAAATTCCAGTGCCACCCAAAATCATACTGGGTTTCTTTTCCCCGATGTTGAGGGTGGATGTAGTGGACATGGAAGCGTGGGGAGGGGGGGAAGGTTCCCAGACTTCACTGCAGGCCATGCTGGGGGTAAAGAATATGCTGCCAAATCCATGGTGGTACCCACAGGGTTTACAAAAGCCTTAATGTCATTTCATTTCCCCCTCAGAAGTGCCTAACTGCCAGTCCTCGTACCTACGGGGGAATGTCTTCCCCAACAGCCATGACGGTGAGTGACTCCCCCACTCTCCCCATGTCGTGACCCCATCCCACCCCTCCCTTGCGGCAGGCAGCACTCCTGGGCACCCAGAAAACACCCAGGAGAGCATCATGGGGCCCATGAGAGCTGCATGTGCTGCCACCAGCCCCAAAAGCAGCCAGCAGCCCCTGTGAGCGTGCCGTGAGGGCACAGCAGTGCCATGGGCTCCGGGATAATGCAGAGCTGCTAATAAGGTTTGGGAGCAGTGAGGGGGGCAGAGCTGCACAGCACTCGGCCACTGAAGTAGCTGGGAATAGGTCTGCTCCCAGAGCTGTGGATGGGGTCCTGTGCTGGATTCAGCCAAGCCAGGGTTTTTTGGGGTCCAGCCAGGGTAGTGGAGGGGCCCTATGCTCACAAAGGTCTTTTCCCCGCAGGATTTTCATATGAAAAGGACACACGATTGTATTTTGATGACACGTGCGTGGTACCTGAGAGGCTGGAGGGTAAGAATCTGGCCCCAGAGGAGGCCTGCAGGGGGACCAGGGCTCATGGAGGAAGATGTGGGGGTGGTGGGATCTGCAGTGCCTGGCTTATAAAGCCAAGCAGTGTTGGCACGGTGCTCTTGAGAGCTGCTGAGCATCATCCCACGTGGCAGCTTGGCATCACTGCCATGCTCCATCTCTGTCACAGACACCTACCTGCCTGCAGCACCATCCCCAGCACCTCTCCCACCCCGTGGCCTGATCCTGCTCAGGTGTCTCAGCACGGGGATGCTCCATGTTCTTGTACATATCTCCTGCTGGGTGACACAGCCTGGGAGAGGGGCAGAGCCAGGCTGTTTAACCAGGTGTGTTTGTCGAGCAGGTAAAGTGAAGCAGGAGCCCACCCTGTACCGTGAGGGCCCTCCCTACCAGCGGCGCGGCTCCCTGCAGCTCTGGCAGTTCCTGGTCACCCTCCTGGACGACCCTGCCAACGCCCACTTCATCGCCTGGACTGGCCGGGGCATGGAGTTCAAGCTGATAGAGCCTGAGGAGGTATGAGAGGTCCTGCCCTGGAGCTGGGCAGTGCCTGTGGGGATGCAGGAGTGCATCCTTCCCACACAGCAGAGCCTTCCCACTCGCACTTGAGGCGAGACACGTACCTCTGCTCTCCAGTCAGCTGTTGAAGTTTGCCTTTAGTATCTTCCACTGCCTCTTGGTGCAGCGTGTGCTGGCTCCCAAAGCTGGCAGTGGTCACCAGCTGTGGTGGTGTTGCCTCTGTGCCGTGCCTTGCTGAGTTCTGCTGCTCTGCCACGGCTCCCTCCTTCCCAAGCTGCTCCCATCCTTTGCCCTGGGTTTCCAGCAGCAGCTCCGTGCTGGAACCACACAGCACCACGGGAGGGTGACACACAGGAAGGAACTGCTTGGGGAGTAATTGAGAGCAGCTGTAGCCAGCACCGAGCTGCGCATTGTGGGTAATTACCCATAATATCTCTTGCGCCATGCATGGAAATTGTGGTATTTTGAAGCAGCCTTTTTGGCAGGCTCTGCCTAATGAAATGACTTTTGATTTGGCCCCTGATCTGGCGGTGGCTGTGTGGTCACAGCCGGAGCATTTATCGTGGCCGGCGGGGAACCACTCCCAGACCACAGTGATACCTTCTCTCCAGCTGCCCCAGCCCCCTCAGACAAACCTCTGGCCTGCATTTCAGTTGTGATTTCCTCCCAGGATCCCTGTTGCAGCCCTGGCTGGAGCCCTGATGGCTGCCCCCTCTCTCCCCGTAGGTAGCACGGCGCTGGGGCATCCAGAAGAACCGACCAGCCATGAACTACGACAAGCTCAGCCGCTCCCTGCGCTACTACTATGAGAAGGGCATCATGCAGAAGGTGAGGTCACAGCAGGGTGTGACCGTCCCCCGCTGTCCCAGGGTGCGGCAGGAGAGGGGTTAGGTCCCACGTGAGGTGTGTGGTGCTCCCCCAGGGCAGGGGTAATGCTCAGGGCCCCTCTCACCTCCTTGCTCCTCCCTGCAGGTCCCACGTGAGGTGTGTGGTGCTCCCCCAGGGCAGGGGTAATGCTCAGGGCCCCTCTCACCTCCTTGCTCCTCCCTGCAGGTTGCCGGCGAGCGGTACGTCTATAAATTCGTCTGCGACCCCGATGCCCTCTTTTCCATGGCCTATCCCGACAACCAGCGCCCTTTCCTGAAGACAGAGCCAGACTGCCCGGTGCCAGAGGAGGAGACGGTGCCCCTGACACACTTTGAGGACAGCCCGGCGTTCCTCCTGGAGATGGATCCCTGCGGCAGCCTTCCCTACGCGGAGGGCTTCGCCTACTGACTCGGCCGGCTGGCAGAGCCATTGGCACTAGCGCAGCCACCTGGGGCAAACACGGTGTTCTAAAGAATATTTTTGGCTGTCCGTACGAGGAAAAAAAAAAAAAAAAACAAACCCCAACGACAAACAGCATGGGTGCACACACAAATTTGAGGAATTTAAAACGCCCCACGTGTGTTGCCGCCGAATTCCCACCCTTCCTTTCCAAGGGCTAGTGCACAGGACTGCCCGTGGCTGGCACCTCCTGCCGTGCATCAGTGTGATGTCTTGGGGCGCCGGGAGCCTAAAGTTGCAGTCTCCTCCCCAGGCCCTGGCTCCGGCAGTGCCCCGGGGCTGGGCTGCGTGGCTACCCAGCCAATTGTCACGACAATCTGCTTTGCATCGAGCACAATCCGCGTCGCTGCCTTGTGTGGTGGAAAGGGCTTTGATTTGCACAGACAGGAGGGATGCGGGGGGGCCGCCCGGGCCAGCACCCCGGGGCTGATGTGCGCAGCATCCTACCCCAACCCCGAGGAGCCTTCTGCCTTCTTCCTGAGCCCCCTCCCCATGTAACCTCTTGTTCCCATAGAACCTCCTGCATCCTCTCCGTGCCCTCCGTCCTCCCCAGCTCTTGGCTATGGGCCATGGGTTGCATTTTGGGGGAGGAGACCCTGACACTAACTTCCTCTTCGTTTCGGTTTTGGTTTTTTTTTTTTTTTTTTTTTTTGGGATGTTTTAGGAAAATACTAAAGGTTTCTAAACTGATTTTTGTAGATTTTTTGTATTTTAAGGCAAAGCTATTTTTTGCAGCTCGGCTGCTGTCCCTGGAGCCCCTGGGGACACCCCTGTGGCTTTCCTGGTGGCAGGGGGAGCCCTCGATGCCCGTGGCTTCCTGGGATGGCTGCCGAAGGATCTGGTCCGCTCCATTTCACTGCTCCAGTCCTCTTTCCCAGGGGAGCCAGGGCTGAATCCCAATACTGGCTCAGCTACACTCCCCCTGCTCGGCATGGCCTTGGAGCTGGGCTGTAAGGCTGAGGTGGGCAGGGATGGGGGGTCCCCCACCCCCCTTCCTCAATACCCCACTTCCCTCCAGCTCCCCCCACCCCTTGCTGCACCTCTTAACACTCCTCCACCACTCATATATCCTTACCTGCCTCCCCTGCACCAGGCTACATGTTTTGTTGTAAATGCTGTATAGGAATTTTTTCTCTTCTTTAGTTAGCTTTGGTTGGAATTTTTGTTTGGTTTTTTGGGTTTTTTTTTTTGGTTGGGTTTTTTTTTGGTCTGTTTTTTTTTTTTTTTTTTTTTTTGTTTTTTTTTTTTTTTTTTTTTTTTTTTTTTTTTTTTTTTTTTTTTTTTTTTTTTTTGGGAAGTATGAAGATTAACTCTACAATGAACTTGGTTGCTCTCCCCATGGTGGCTGCAGTGGCCTGTACCCATGGGGAGCATTTGGTTTTGGGAACCCCAACCCTGGGGACAGGTTTTTAACCATTTGCTCGGTGTGGCAGGTCTGCAGTGCAGAAGGAGTTAATCTGAGGACTGATTTGAAATATCTTTATTCAAGCAGGGCTATGTATCTCCTGCAAAAGCTGCATTACATTCTGTACTGTGTACAATAAAGGATCTTGCTTCCTGTTCCTCCCTGACTGCCTGGGCTCCTGCTTTGCCTGCGCTGTGGGATGCTGCCTGGGCTGCCAGGAGCCCCTGGATGTGCTTGTGGGGTCAGTAGTGGTCCAGGCTACAGCCCATCATTTGGGGCCTGCAGCATGGTGTATCTGGAGCCGAGACCGAATCCCCAGGGCTGCCTTTTCCTCAGGTCTGGATTTGTTGCTCCTGGGTGTGGATAGTGCCATGGCTTTCACAAAGCCACATCCCATGAGAGGATCCATGTGGAATGGGGGTGGCTTCTGCCCAGTAGGTGCAGTTTAATATTTCCTCTTCCCAGGCTTTCTCAGCAAGGCTTCCACTCCCCTGGAAACCCAAGCACCTGCCATCAAGCCATCAAGCAGGGCCAAGGCTGGTGGGGACCTCTCAGGACAGCCCCTCCACAAGCTACTGCCAGTGGTCCCTCATTGTCTCCATTTCTAGGCCAGGAATAATTCAGGGTTTGCAAAATTATGAAGGAGGTGGGTGGAAGGCAAGGGCTGTCCTGTGAAGAGTTGATTTAGCTGAGGGGTCTGTGTGAAAAAAAACCACCCCAGAACTGCCCACCCACTGCCATTGGCCTCAATTTTAGCTGGGCTGAGCCAGGCTGTCCACAGCCAGCCCGTCCCATGCAGGGGCTTGGTGTGATGCTGGTGGAGATACTCTGACACATCTCTTCCAGCTTATTTTCAGAGCCCTGCCAAACCCCATCCCTAGACGTGGCAGTGGAGAGATGAAAGGTCCTAGTGTGCCACGAGGCTTTTTACACACCCACCCCACCTCAGCTGGATCCACTCCTGGCTGCCAGCCACGTTGCTAATGGGTCCTTAAGCTGCTCTTCCATCATGCCTGAAGTATTAAGCTGCATGGGGAAGTATGGCTGTCTCCCAGCCCAGGCAGGGCAAAGCAGGATCTAAAACATCCAGCAAAACCAATTCATCTGGCACGAAGCCTTCAAGGAGCTAAATCAGTTGTTGCCTCAGGAGACATCTTACACTCCCAGCCTATCCCATCTTTATTTTCCACGAAGTTCTGTCCTCTTAAGACCGCAAAACCCAGGTGCTCTGAGCTCCAGACAGTGGCTGGTAATCCCACCTGGCTGGGGATTTCAGCAGGCTGAGTCCTGGTGCTCAGGATGGGGCAGGGGAAACGGGGCCACCGGCAGCACAGCCGGCAGGCAGATGGTCCAGGGAGCAAAGATGTGGCACCAATTATGGACAGCGAGGATGAGGATGAGCAGATCAAGCAAAGCCTTTCAAAGCCTTCATCAAGCATCTTGTCACACCACAGCCCTGAGCCTAGCCCTGCCAATCTCACTGTGGGCAGGGCTGGGGCCCCAGGGGTGTCTCTCACTCTGCTCTTACCGAAGGGAGAGGTGAGGAAGAGGGGTTTTTCTGTTCTAGTTCGACAGTGTGGGACAAAAAGGTTCAAGCCATAAAGGGTTTGATACCTCACTGCCTTTTATTACTTAGGACACCAAGAATTTGCTCCTCATTTGATCCTGCTGTGTGTCACCCCTCCCTGTCCTCATGCTCCATGCAGAGGGGCTGGAGCTGCCTTGGGTGCCTGGTCCCATTTGTCCCCACCCTGAGGCTGAGGGACAAGCCAGAGCTGTGAAGTATCCTGCCTGCAGCCTCCCAGGAGTGAGGCAGGAGCTCCCAGGCAGAGCAGGGGCTGGACTTCGTTTGCCAGGAGTTGGGGAGATGGAGGGGAAGCAGGTGGGGAGGCATGTGTGCTCCCTTCTCACCTCCTGCCCCATCAGAGGCTGCTTCCAGGCATGGGGATGTGTCCTCTTAGGAGATTCTTCAAAACACCACGGGGTGGGAGCACTGCTGCAGCTGCCACCACTCCCCCAGAGCCAGGAATGGCTCAGGCTATCACTGCTCCATCCCCAGGACCCACACCTTGGTCCCCTCCTCCCATATTCCCACACCAGTTGCCTCCTGCCTTCCTCCCAGCCCTCCCAGCCACAGGGGAGGATGAATAGGAGTGAGCAGAGAGGATGGTGAACAATGAAGAACCATTTTGGGGAGGATTCAGCTCTCCAGGCTGGGAAAATCCTCGGTGCTGGTGTCCAACTCTGTCTCCAATCCTCCAGCTCACAGCTTCCACCTCTGTGTGGTGGTTGTGGTAAAGAGCCCATCAGCAGCTCGGGGTGAGCAACAATCTGTGACACTTGGGAAGCAAAAATAAAATGGCAGCTGGTGTTGAATGGGGACAAATGTGTTTTTTCCTATTTTCTTCTTTTCACGGTGTTTATAATGTGCCCCAAGTTATCCCCTCCCTGGAATGAGAATTTGGAGTTACCAGATGGTCCAAGAGGCACAGGTTAAAAATCATTTGGAAAAGAGGAGCCTGTAAAAGGGAGAGGATCATTAAAATCCTTTACGCATCCATAATTCATGGAGTACATTTCTGCTCTCCCTGTCCTGGAGGCAATATAGCAGGACTGGAAAATGTTCAAAAAGCAACAGAGACAGCCAAGGCTCTGCTCTGGCTCTTCCATGGGAGCATATAAATAGTCTGGCACTTCCGACTGGGGCAGGATTTGTGGCTCAGGGGCTCCATATTTAATAGCCCACGGCTGAGTTTTCCATGGCAGCCTGGAAGAGCATTTTGGGGAAGAATTACTGCCCACACAGCTTGCTCTTCTGGCAGGAGTAGCAAGGCCAGAAGTTGAGACTAGAGGTGCTGCATGGCCCACCAGGGGCACTGAGGCACAGCTCCCACCTGGCCCCTGTCCTGCTGCCCATCGGGGTGGCCTCGTGCCTCTGCTTGGCAGCTGGTTCCACCAGGGTCACACCACAGCAGCTCCTCTCTTCCCCAGCTCTTCAAACACTCAGGGTTTTCACTAAGTGGGTTGATTTGGCTCTTAAACACCTGGAGCAACACGAGTGGCTCCATGTGTGGAGCCAGCTTCAATATGAGTCAACTCCAGAGGGAAAAAGACACAAAAATAACCACACCAAAACAAAACAGAACAACAACCAAAAAGATCAGGCAAGCAAGATGTGGGCTGGTGAGTAAGGAAAAGTGAGGAACTCCCACCTGGGGGTGTGCAGGACACCCAGCTCCCTTCACACTGGTCTGGCACCACCTCGTGGATGTCCAGCTGCCGCTTCTGGCCACCACGGGGTTTGTGGTAGCACATCTGCAGAGGTTTTTGGTATCAAAACGTGGTCACACCTGTGGGCTGGACACTCTGTGGTAGGAGGGCTTTAGCCACAACTCGTTTCCCAGGGCTTCTCTCTACTTTGTGCTGACTTTCCTGGGAGATGTGGGTCTGTGTTACTGACTCCAAGCCTCCCACTCCTGGCAGGATGCAGGAAAAGGGGCACCACTGACCCCATCTTCTCCTGTGCTCCAGTGGGAAGGGAGCTGGGGCTCCACTAACACCCAGAGCCTCAGAGCTCTCCAGCACTGAGCTCCAGCCTCTCACAAGGCACTAACACCAGAATAAGCCTTT